TCAGACTTGCTTGTAATCATTCTGGTTTTATTTGATCAAATTATCCACACTCCTTTTCTATCAATGACAAATCTTAAGATGATTTTCGATCGTAAATTCACACCACGTATTTCTGGCAGCTGATGCTTGTCTTACTGTTCTGTTATACATTCAGCGAATGTTGTCTTTCTGGAATTTTTTCCCGATAAAAGACTGAAGATACATTTTGATACTTATTTAAATGATATAATGTTTCATCTTTCACAGTGAAAAAAACTTTGGAGGCTCCATTCTTTCACACGACAACTATATAAAAGATTCACGATAAATGACTGAAAATTACTATATATCTGGGTTTACCTGTCTTTTTTGTCACTTAAGAAAGTAGTAAGGAAAAGACTAAAAAAAAAAAAAAAAAATTGAAGAAACTAGAAAGCATGTCAAGGAATGTGGCCATCTAATTAGCGAAACCATCTTATAGATTTTTTTCATTTAAATCAAAAAAAAACTTTAAAAAAAAAAATAAATAGCATTTATAATTCTTCATGCATAGATGGTGACCTGGACCATGATCTTTCAAAAATTAAGTCTTGCAACAATTGAACTTCCAAAAGACTCGATTCAGAACAAGATATTATTCTCATTGAAGCTGTACACTATAATCAATACAACGTACACAGTAATGATATCAAGCTTTTAGACTATCCTGTACGTGCAGTTACCTAGTTAGAATGACTAACATCGATTGTAAATGGTAGGTAAGAAATCATTAATAAAAATTTACTTAATGCTGTGATGTCACATGCCTTTTTCCCCAATATGCGAGATTCTCTTACGCATTGATTTGAATGTGCTTGATAATCAATCGGTATATTACGGCACATTGGTACTTATTTGATGTCAAAAGATTTAATGGACAATACAGAGGACATGTTTCTTTGCCATTTTTGTCAACCTGAATGCCATCATTCATAACAGCCATTATTTTCAAACTGAATTTACTAAGGATTTTTCGGTTTACCCGATCATACATATGACAAAGAGCACTTGACGGGTGTGACCTGTCGACTGGGGAAGATTGCCCTCAATGGCACCCGATCCCACTTCTGTTTTCAGAGGTACTTGTTAGCTCTGCTCATCATTTGTATTGTCAAAATGGACTTTAAATAATGCATGATTATTGTTCGTCATATTCACATTTCTTTCTGTCTTTAGATATCCAAACTTTATGTTATTATGTATTTTAAGCAAGTGTCTTACTGAGTGGTTCTGTGTGCCATTTTTATGAATCGTAAGTACGAGATCCCTTATTGTAGTTAGGTATCGCCCACATTTGAGTTTTCATTTATTCACATCCATAAAGGGGGTTCACAATAATGCTAGAATTCACAAATCAAATATGCTATTGCTGTAATGTTGTGACATTGTGATAGACTTTTTTCTAAAATATTTCATGAGCTTTTCATTTATTATCCCTTCGAATATTACAATAATTTTTATAGGACCATTTTTTTTTTAAATTCATGTAATAAACACCAAAATTAAAATTTTGCATCGACTCATATTAAGATGATGATATGTTAGAAATGTCTCAAATATTTTCTTTGTGCAAATGGATAGACTTTAACATATATGAAATCATAAGAAGTACATGTTTATGTGAGTAATCAATGAAATGCCTCAAGTTTGGTAATTTGTTTCATTATAAACCATAGCGTATTTTTTTTAAAATCTTGTTTGTAATATTGTACAAAATATTTATCCAAATAAAAAGAAAAGAAAGCATTGATTAAAATCCCAAAATAGACTCATTTTACGTTATTGCACCCTTAGCTGATATTTTTATTTATAAGAAAATAATTTATATTGATTCCGAGTAAGGAATACATATATATCTATAGAAAATTCAGACAAAGGAATATTCTGTTAGGGTTGATCGTGCTTATATAAAATGAACTGTTCTCTGAAGACTTCGCTACACGCATAAAAGAACCCCCTTCTTTGTTCACTTTATATATAGAAGGTGTAACATCAATTGAATCTAAATACCTTATCAGCTCCAACTCGTTTTCAATCACACATAAAATAATACTGTATATTTGATTATCAGTAATATCATTAAAACCTCATATTTCACTAAAATTGTCTTCACAGAGAAAAAGAAAACAATGCGTGGGATCCTCAAAACACAACGCTTACATGTAAATTAATAATATTCCATATTTTAGGATTTCTAATTACCTACATTGAAGCTAGAGAACAAACTTGCAAATAATAAGCTTGCTCTTGTTGCAGAAGCGTCTACAATTTTGTGAAAAATTTGCCATTTTTTGGGCACCATCTCTAGCTTAGAAACCATGATTTGAACAAATTCAGATTTAACTAAATGGAGACATCTGAAGTTTAATACCTGTAATACTTTGTGTTGCCCTACTTTTCTACACAGGAAAGTTCTAAAAGATTTTTAAATTTCCGAATATATAACATGTATTGTTATTATTACTACATCTACTTCCTTTCTCTTTCTATTATGGCCCCAACCTTCTTATCCTGGAGACCATGATTCTGAATTGTTTATAGAAATGGTTTCTGTACACTTCATATTTCTATATTTCATTCCATTCAAGGGGATCCAAATTATACAGTTTAGCACGAACATGAATTAAATATTCAAACTTGTGTATTTTTGTATTATCTTTTTAAAACTTTATATACATACACAGACTCTGTAAAAATATGATTATCAAGAAGCTTTGACAAAACGTGACTATTACAATGTACTTCTCACTTATTATCAAATGGATTCTAAAAGAATCAGAAAAATCTATTTTGTCCAAGCTTCTTGTATGAAAGAACTGATAAGCTGCATGAAAAAGTGCCAAACATCACATTTTTTATGCAGATATCTGCAGCTGATGCATTTTCTTTACAAAGTAGAAACTGGTGCAAAATTATGAACATTTTAGGCAATTATTTAAAATAAAACTTATCAAAAGAAGAATATGAATAGTTTGCCGAATACCTAATTACTTCACCAGGGGTATTTCATTAATTCATTCAATTACTACCAAGCAGAAGGTCCATCAAAGCAATGAGAAGGAGATAAAAAGTTGAAGGGACACTGTTCAAATAATGGCGACCAAATGTGTCCTGATGATCACGGATCAATTACCAGATCCATCTCCCAAACATTAAAAATTGATTCCATTATAAGCTCTCAAAGATCAGCGCCCTGTGTGTTAACTAACTCTATGTAACCTAATAAAACTCTATATTAGGCACCAATGGTCGGATTTTTTCCTGCAATAACTGTCTTCTACTCATTTTGTCTAAATTAGATAAAGATTAGCAACAGATTGATTTACATCAAGCTATAATTCCCGACTTTGTAATTGTCAGTGCCCATCGATTGGGACCCAGTAGATCCCTAAATCTTCATTTGTAGACAGCGTGAGTCCAGTTCGACACCCAGAAATCTGAAAAATAATTAGGACTCACAAAGAAATCACGGTTGAATTTTCTTACCGCTGTCCAACGTGCGTGGTTATCAATTATAAGTAAGGCACAGATTATTTTCGGTAGTTACTAGACTTATTTTTCTTTCTTTATTTGCTATGCTAGGTAAAATATGAAAGATAAGTTATGTAACTCAACGCCAATTGATATTCTATCCATGTCGTTATAAAGTAAATAATCCATGTAATAAACAGATAAACCTTTTGAATTTCAGAATGACCATTATTAGACGTTACAGCTGCGCTTTGGTGCTTCGGAAGCATATGATTTTTATAGCATTATGATTTTGCTATTGTTCATCAATTCATTGTAAATAAAGAGATGTCAGTGTTGAGTTATTTCAAAAGTGCGTCTAGAAACAAGCAAAATAAAAACTATTCTCGGTACCCCTTAGCTTATTTGTTTTTCTTGATTTCTGAATTTCTAATGTGCAAGCTTTAAAATGAATTCATTGTTCCAAATTAATCTTCAATTTTTATCTGCGTAAGTATAAGCGCATAAATGTCCAAGTTGTACCTACAAAGACAAGAATTCTAACAAAATTTCTTCTCACTCATCCAAAAATAGCAAATACAGAATTAAACTCTCATTATTGTGTTCCATTTGCCCTGTACAAAAATTCAATGAACAATCTTTAGATGTGATTACTGTTTCTAATGTGCAAAAATGCAAACTTTCAAATCCCCTCTCTCCCCCCCCCCCCCCCACCCAATTCAGGTCAACACACTCTTTTGTCTACTGAAGTCCAAAACCCTCAATTATATATTTTAAGTATATTCTTCAAAAAAACATCAATACAAAATTAATCACATTAGAGAATATAGAGAAAGCTTTATTGATTTTTAATCGACGTGTGAAATCTTTGTGAATCTTCACATAAATCCTTAAGCTAATTTGGAAGCATAAACCTTATCACAGTTTCCAGTCAGGTTCCGTTTGTGACTCGAATTTCAGACAAACTTGGATTATTGGAGGGTTGCAAAAAGCTGAAACCGCCTTGTTAAAGTTGTCATAAGATTATGAAATACCTACAGACCTACGTGATACATAATTAGAGTGTATCAATTTGTGTATATTATTAGTTTGTTGATCTTTTTGTTGCTCTGGTCAGCACATTTTTTTACCTTGACAGTGGATCTCTTCTTAAAAATTTGATAGACACCTTCAAACTCCTTTTTCAAACAATATTAGAAGACACATCCAAATTTTTTTAGTCTCTCAAGGTAATAAATCGAAGCATTAAGACATAAAAGCTATTAGATATTACGTACTTTGGCAATTCACAGCTTTAACCATCATGGTTATCATAATTTAATAAGTTGATTTAATAACGCTTGAAATGTGCATTTATGTCTAGGAAATCTTGAAAAGTGCGCGAAAAATTAAATTTAAAAAATAATTAAAAAAAGAAATACGGCCAAAAATTTTCATCTTAAATAAAGAGAAAATATGTATATATATATATACATACACACACATATAAATTTATATATATAGATACTTACCCGACAGAGAGAGTAAAACGGTGTAGAGAACGGAGGACCAATGTCCCTCCATCAGCCCAGCGTCCCCCCACAGGAATTTACCGCACCAGAAATCAGATAGCGAATCTCCAGACAGTCCAACAACCAGCAAATTATTGCTGGGCGAGATATTAACAGGGCCCGTCGACTGAGCTCATGCCATGTTAAATGAAAATATGATCTACCATTCAATTCCCAAACAGCTTATATCAATAGATTTTTTTTGTTTCGAACTTGTTCTCTAAAATGATGAAGGCAAGTGTTCAAACATTGAATATCATTCTATTTACGGCATACAGGAACCAAAAACCTGTGAAAATGGATCAAGATTCACGAACTTTTATAATGGAAATAATGCACTGAATTAATTATCCACGCACGAAAATTTAAGTATTCACCGAACTTCTAAAGTAGAATTGACATGACGGCCCAAGACTGCCATTATAACAGTTTATGAACGTTACAACATTCACACATAACGAACCTCCAAAGTGTCGAATCGCAGAGCAATAAAGGCTTCAGATCCTTGCACTTATAATACATCACATCTCCAGTGTAGCGTCCACTCCGCTCTTCATCCATTTACCGGACCGCGGGCAGGGAGTAGGTATCATTTATTGGATTCTCAGACATCTGGCTTGTCGGGAAAGTCCCTAGGAAATAGTTTGTATGTTTAACTTGTCAATAGCTATTATTAGAAAAGTACCCAACCAAACAAATTAAACTACGGCTATGTCTTTGTAGGATCGAAAGTATAACAGCAAGATGTAGAATTTATTGACTTAAATAATGGGAAAGTTAAGAGGTTTTCTTTTTTCTCTTGAAGACATAAGGCATTAATTCAATACATTTTGTATAATATAAGAACAGTATGAGCAAAGGATATTTTTATGTTTGAGGGCATCTACTTTCCTTGGAAAAAAAACAAAGCAATTTATCATTTTTATTTTACAGTCTTTTTTGAAATGTTGGATGTATTTCTCGCTAGAAAGAGAGTGCCTTGAAAATGCGAATTGAAGTATGATTCAGAGATTTATTATATTTTCATAAAATGCACGTACTTTAGAGGGATAACGTCAACACGCCTGGCAATGGTATAATTGAAGAAGATTTTATTGGCCCAAAGCTTTTAAAACTATTTCAATGTGGACATTTAAGTAAAAAATATGCAAAATTATTCTAACAGAGGCAAAAGTAAGAATATTGAACACTGCACACCCAATGTGTTTAGCTTTCAAACGTCATCTCTTAGCAAATGCTTTAGCATTATCTTTCTTATGGACGACAAGATGTCTGTAGCTTGGATTCCTAATTAAGAAAAAAATATGTACCTCCCAGTTTAGTAGTTTTCTTCTTAAAGTGCCGACGAATAATAATTCTTAAAATCTTCTTGCTGTCAAGTTTTTTCCACAACAATATAGTTTGATCTGTTAGAATTATCAGGTTTATTTTTAACCAATAATTAACTGTGTACTTTAACAAGATGACGCTAACAAGTACATTAAGAGACAGTTCTGAGATTAATACACGTAAATAAGAATTCGAACAAGCTAAGCTTGGACGATAATATATTTTAATTTTTTTTTATTTCTGTGTGTGTGTGTGATAATGTTTCAATCTTCTATTTTTCCTCTTTGAAGAAAGTTGATGAAACAAGGATATCAACAGTCTCGTTTGAAGTCATTTAGAGTCGAAACAATGACCTTGTCAGCAACTACAACCTATCATTAAGTCAAAATCTGACTGACATTTTCATACTAATTGTTAGGCCATTACATGTATTTACACACTGAAGTGTCTGCAGATCCCCCCCCCCCCCCCCCGTGACAAGGAGCACACGGTGGGTGTGACTAAGTCAAATTCTGACTGATTGTTAGGCCATTATTTACACACGGAAGTGTCTGCAGATGTTTTTCACCCACCCCCCACCCCCAGTGACAAGGAGCACACGATGGGTGTGACTGGTCGGCAGGGTATGCTCACTCCTCCATGGCATCTGATTCCACCTCTGATGTTTTTATAGGTCCGTGTTTGCTCTGCTCCCGATTTGTATTGTTTTCATGGACTTTGAGCTTGAATACTATTGTTATCTCCATATTTCATTTAAACATATTTGTAAGGCATATAATATACTGAGGTAGAATGAATCAAGATTGATTGGGATTTGTACTTTTTATTAATCGTCTGTTGACAGTTAGCATGAAAACCAGTTTTACGCAGTTTTACGCATGCTTTGTTTGCTTCAAATTCTATTTTTCATTTCGTTTAATATGAATAATATTTTTCTGTATTTTTTTTTCAATATGCCATTTTTGTGATGTATTTACTCTAGTATGAGTTCCATATTTCTTTTTAAATTTTGTACCCGTCAGAAAGGGGGGGGGATAGATATAGGATCTCCCATGATTTGTAGTTGGATATGATTTTTATCCAACGAGTTGTATATTTTTATCCCCGAGCCTTGGTAGGGGTCAGAGATAGTGGAGGCAATGAAAATAAAGTGTTTCAATATAGTTTACGTGAAGCATGCATACCTATATATATATGAATCAGACCAGAGGTGGACCAGAGGTAGAGCAATAGTAATTACATAATGAGAAAACATGAACCTAAGTAATAACTGACTATTGACTATTCTTCGGAGTCTATTATATTGTAAGGGGTGTTAAGAAATTTCATATCCATAATGAAATATTTTTGAAAATTTTCAAAGTAGTGTTTAACTGAAGGAATTAATTTCCAGTCTGACAAAATCATAGGATTGTACTTTCGATTTATAGCAATTAATTTCTAACAGGAAGTTATACGATTTCTTGCCATATGAAAAAATATATAAACATCTTTAATACTCCCAAATGACAGAACTACTGGCAATTTTGTGTGAAAATGTAGGATTATTTACTTTTGTTTCTTCACAGCTAATCTTGCATCATATAAAAATTATGAGCTTTGGTAAAAGAAAGATCAGTCACTTTTCAAATGAATAGGTTTGTCATATTGGAATTCTATTCTGACTTAATTTTGCATAGGTATTTGAAAGGATATATTGACTTGTGTGCTTAAGATATTTCACAAATACGCTGCATGTAACATGAAAGTCGAATAACGACCAGACAATAGGTTGTATTTGCAAACAAGGTCATTATTACGACAGAAAATTTTGCAAAAAAGCTAATATATTTAACAAAACATATCAACTGAACTGCAAAAACAATATCCCTGAGGAATGTCATTTATCTACGTAATGTCTACGTAACTAAGGAGAGGTATATGAGTTTAAGGTTAGTGTAGATTTTATGATTTCAGTACAAGGGTTATAAAGTGTATAGATTTTAGATTTCAGTATTAGGGTGAATGTAGATTCATGATTTCAGTATAAGGGTTAGTGTAGATTAATGATTTCAGTATTAGGGTTAGTGTAGATCTAGAACTTTGGTTTCAGTGGTAGGGTAAGGGGTAGATCTTTAATATTGACATAAGGGTAAAGGTTAGTGTAAGTATTAGTGTTAGTGTAGATCTATGATATCATATTTAGGGTTAGGACTTTTAGGGTTAGTGCAGATCTAAGAGATCAGTATTATATTTAGGATTAGTGTAGATCTATGATATCAGTATTAGGGTAAGGGTTAGTGTAGATCTATGATATCAATTTTATGGTTAAGGCTAGAGTAGATTCATGATATCAGTATTAGGGTTAGGATAAGTGTAAATCTATGATATGAGTATTAGGGTTAGGGTTAGTGTAGATCTATGATATCAGTATTATATTTAGGATTAGTGTAGATCTATGATACCAGTTTTAGAGTTAGGATTAGTGTAGATCTATGCATGCTATCAGTATTATGGTAGGGGTTAGTGTAGATCTATGATATCAGTATTATATTTAGGATTAGTGTAGATCTATGATACCAGTTTTAGAGTTAGGATTAGTGTAGATCTGTGCATGCTATCAGTATTATGGTAGGGGTTAGTGTAGATCTATGATATCAGTATTATATTTAGGATTAGTGTAGATCTATGATATCAGTTTTAGAGTTAGGATTAATGTGTAGATCTATGATATCAGTATTAGGGTTACACTTAGTGTAGATCTATGATATCAGTATTAGGTTCAGGGCTAATGTAGATTTATGAGATCAGTATTAGGGTTAGGGTTAGTGTAGATAAAACATAATACTTCAAGAGTTAAGGTACATTTTTAATATCAATACATTTATAAGGGTAAAAGTTAAGATAGAGCTGTTATATTAGTATAAGTGTTAATGTATATTTATAATATCAGTACATGTATTAGGGTTAAAATGAAGGTCGATCTATGAAATTAGTATAAGGGTTAGTGTAGATCTATGATATCAGTACAAGGATTAAGATACATTTAATTTATCGTGGGGAATGGTTGTATATAAAGTTGAAAAGGTGTAAGTTTTTATGTTGTTGATTTTGGAAAAAAATTTGCGATTTCAAGTTTTCCAAAGTTCTTTGGAATTTTTAAGTATCCACATTTGATTTACACCACTGCTCGAATATATTGTTGCACAGTATTCCTGAAGACTTTCCTTCACCATTGTTATAATATCTTAATGAGGAGTAAAAAATGAGGCTTGGTAGAACATTTATTGGAACCCGCTATGTATCTTTGTTTTGTTTTTTTTTTTAAAGATTTTTACGGAGTTTTGGAATCCGATATGGTAATTCAAATTCATGTTGGTTGTTGGGAATATCAAAAATATTCAAAATTGACATATGATTTTGAAGAATTTCTTCATTAGAAAGGAGCTATGGGTATACGTTGGATTAAAACTTGTTGAATTAAATCCCAGTTCCTCTAAAATACAATTTAAATAATGAGCCTTACAAACAAAGACAATGTTGTTACCTGCTTTGTCAGTGGAGACTAGTACATACTGATCGTGTAATCTATCTTATTCTTTTTTCACTTCTGAATTATTGAACACAGAAGAATAGCTGATCTATGATATTAGCATAAGGGTTAAGATACATTTATAATATCAGTATATGTATAAGGGTTAAAGTTAGGGTATATCTATGATATCAGTATAAGGGTTAAGGTACATTTATAATATCAGTACATGTATTAGGGTTAAAGTTAGGGTATATCTATGATATCAGTATAAGGGTTAAGGTACATTTATAATATCAGTACATGTATTAGGGTTAAAGTTAGGGTATATCCATGATATCAGTATAAGGGTTAAGGTACATTTATAATATCAGTACATGTATTAGGGTTAA